TCTCTATCTCGCGCTCTTTCTCTCTCTCTCTCTCTCTCTCTCTCTCGCTCTCTGTCTATCTCTCTCTATCTCGCGCTCTTTCTCTCTCTCTGTCTATAACTCTTTCTCTCTCTTTGTCTATCTCTCTCTTTCTCGCTCTCGTTCTCTCTTTCTCTCTCTATCTCGCGCTCTTTCTCTCTCTCTGTCTATAACTCTTTCTCTCTCTTTGTCTATCTCTCTCTTTCTCGCTCTCGTTCTCTCTTTCTCTCTCTATCTCGCTCTCATTCTATCAGGAGTTAATAAATCTATTGATATATTGACCTGATTCTATCTATCTATATCTCCCCCCCTCTCCCCTCCCACCTTATACTAGCAATTATGAGCCGCCATGTTTGTATATACGTTCATGCACATGCTCATCCCGACATCCGTCTGTATGCATGTCTGTCTGTGTTTGTTGCAGGTTAAGGAGCACGATGCGTTTGAGGGCTGGGTGAAGCAGCTGCGTCATCACCGGCTCTACCGGCAGCACGAACTCTCCTACGGCGTGCACGACCTGCCGCGTCTCATCGACATCCAGTCGCCGACGAAGGACCTCGCCTCTCCCGGTACGGACGCGCCCGTCCTCGCCCCCGCACGCGTCGGCGGCGTCGGCAGCAGCGTGGGGATGAAGCCAGGCCGCGACCCGACCATTGTCAAGCTGTGCCGGCAGGCGGTCGCCTGCAACTACACACGCAAGTAGCGCCCCGCTGCGGCGGGCTCGCTTCAATTCGCTGTGGTGGCAGGAGCAGCCGGCGGCAGGGGGCGCCGGTGTGGCTCGCGTTCGTCAGCATCGTTGTGTTGTTGTACAGGGGGCGAGCTTTCGTCGTTGTCGTCGTCGTCGTCGTCATCGTTGTCATCGTTGTCGTCGGCGGCGTCTGTAGTGTTTGCGTGCGGATGCCTTGTTTCGGCTGCGTGTCTGTTTATTTCTCGTATTTATCCCCCCCCCCTGCCCGGGAGATTTCGCACCGCTATCTGTCACTAGTAGGTGTCGTCGTTGGTAGTTTCACTGTACACACACCGTGTATATATATAGGTGGTGAACAACAGTAGAGGGCGTCCATAGGCAGCAGGCCTGAATAAACATCGAACAGAAATTAATTAAAAATACTCACACTGATACTTCGCTTACACAACATACACTTTATTCATGTTAAATAACTACAGATCCATGCTCTATGCTCCGCTCGAAACTTTTGCTAGCTCTATGATGCGAATTTCTGCAAAGTTGTCTGAACACATTTCAAACACAAAAAGGACACGCTGTGGCTACGCCACCTGACGGAATGTCACGAATACACAACAAGACCAATTTTACTTCTAATGCTTTCTAGACGTCCACGAGGCAACTAACTTGCGTGCATAATGCAAATTATTGCACTCTAGTGCCGAACTTCGGCGAAAAAAAATTCCCAATAAGGCCTTTTTAGAGACGAAATAGTGCAACGGTGAACAATTTGCAGAGGCTTACTGTTGTATGCCTCCTATAATACACGTGTAGACGTTTGCCGCTGTACGGTGGACGGTATCGGTGTGCCTTGTAACTTTTGTTCACTGCTTCCCTCTCGGCACGCCCGTATGTTTAATTACGTGTGCAGTTGTACGGTAGCGGTACGGTGCTGTCTATAGTTGCCCAGTGTTGTTATTGCATGTAGTGTAGTGTAGTGTAGTGTAGTGTGTGGAATGTAGTGCGTCAGCACGCGTGCACATCGCTCAGAGCGTGTTTGCCTCCGTGTCGTGTTGCAACAGCAACAGTAGTAGTAGTAGTAGTAGTAGTCGTAGCAGCAGCAGCAGCAATAGCAGTAGTGGCGGTGTCGACAGCAGCAGCAGCAGCAGCAGCAGCAGCAGCAGCAGCAGTAGCAGCAGTACAGTAGCAAGTATAAGCAGTAGCATAACAGTAGCAGCAAGCAGCAGCAAACAGTAGCAGTAGCAGTTAGCACAGTAGTACAGCAGACAGCAAGCAACAGATTAGTAAGTAGATAGCAGTAAGTCAGTAGCTAGTAAGTGGCGGTGTCCGTCGCATCGTTCGCTGCAGCAGATCGCTGTTGTTTACGGTGATGGCCACATTAAATCGATACACTGTTTGAAGTTCAGATGCTAATCACGCGCGCCTCGTGTGGTTTGCGTGGTGTGTGCGTGTGTGTGTGCGTGCGTGCGGCGGGTGCGTGTGTTGTTTACGCAGGTGCGAAATTAACGGAGTCCGCAGTCAAATACTCTCCTGATTTACTGTCGGACATCCATGATTTGACATATCAGCCGGTGCCGTCGTGACTCCCTGGAAATTCTGGCTCATACTTAAAAGTTCTGTTCCAGTTAGTCTAGTTAGTTCGCGGCACGGCCTCGCGAATATACCTATTTTTTCAGCTACTGTCCAAAGAAATTGCAGAGCCGGCAACAGCCAATGAATCTTGAACAATAAGCACATGCGTTATGTTAATATCATTTCATTTTGAATCTCAGACTGCGGAGACTCCATCATTTTGCTGCGGCACTCCCCTCTTTTTCCTTCTTGTTCAAAAGTTCATTCTACACCTGTGTGTGCGTGGGGGTGTGTGCGTGTGTGTGTGTGTGTGGTGTGTGTGTGTGTTGACGTGCGTGCGTGCGTGCGTGACCGTGCCGTGACCTGGCGTGCCGGCCGTGCGTGCGTGCGTGTGTGTGTGACGCTGTGTGTTGTTGTGTGTGTGTGCGTGTTGTGTGTAGTGGGGGGGTGTCGTGCGTGCGTGCTGCGTGCGCCCCTGTGATCAGCAAATACGCACAGTAGCAGTAACAGCAGGAAGCAGCAGCAGTAGCAATAACAGCACATAGCAGTAACAGCAGCACGCGGCAGTAAGCCGCACAGAAACAGCAGTAGAACAGCAACAGCAAGCAGTAAACAGTAGCACACAGCAGCACAGCAACAGCCGTAGTACAGCAGCAGCAGCAGCAGTAACACAGCAGTAGCAGCAGCACTGCACAACAGAGCAGCAGTAGTAACAGCACAGCAACAGTAACACGGGCAGCAACAGCAGCAGCAACAACGCAACAGCAGCACAGCCAAACAGCAGCACAGCAGCAGATGTAACAGCAGCAGTAAGCACGCAAGCCAACAGCAGTAACCAGCAGCACCAACAGCCATCAACAACAGCACAAGCAGCTAGCGAGCAGCAGCGAGTGTTCCTTCTTCCATGCTGGCTGCTGCTGGTGCCGCCTCACAGCCGCTGCGTCATCTATGCATAAGTAGATCATCGCTAGTTGTACGTGGGCCTGACGGTAGGTAGTAATGTTCGATTCAGTTCGCTCGATGGTGCTGCCATATGGCAGTATGCTTGCCAGTCATGTCTTTGCTCCTTGCTTGATGTATAGAAAGATCGAAAGAGCACGACGAGGCTAGTTTGTGTTGTATGTGTGCGCGCCGCATGTGCGTGTGTGTGTGTTGTTGTGTGTGTGTGTTGTGTTGTGTGTGTGTGTGTGTGTGGGTGTGTGTTTGTTGCGTGTGTGTGGTGGTTTGTGTGTGTGTGTGTTTGAGTGGTGTGTGCTGTGTGAGTGTGTATGCGTGCGTGCGTGCGTGCGTGGCGTGTGTTGTGTGAGTGTGTGCTTGAGTGTATGCGTGCGTTCGGCGTGCGTGCGTGCGTGCGTGCGTGTGATGTGTGTATTGTGTGCGGCGCGTGTGTGTGCGCGTACGTGTGCTGTCCTGCGTACATCCGTTCCATGCATGCGATGCGGGCTCATGTTGTGAGGGCGTACATGGCATGATGTCAGGCATTTGGGATAAGCAGAGTACGATAGAAGAGAATAAATCGAGTGAAAGGGATATACGAGCACATCATCAACCAAGAGCGTGTGCTGAAGATTGATTGTGGTGATCAGTGTGGGTGTTTGTTGGTTATGTGAGAGACGAGAGAGAGAGAAATTAAAGAGGAGTAAAGAGGAGAGAGAGAGAGAAAGAGAGAGAGACGCGAGAGAAGAGAGAGAGCAGCAGAGAGAAGAGAGAGAGAGAGAGAGAGAGAGAAGAAAGAGAAAAAAAATATACTCGATAAGATTAACCAAGAGAGACTACGGAGGTGAAAAAGGCGATAGATACTCTGCAGGCAATAGCAAAGCCGATTAAAATAAGATGAGAGAGAGAGAGAGAGAGGAGAGAGAGGAGAGGGGAAGGAGAGAGAGAGAGAGAGAGAGAGAGAGGAGAGAGAGAGAGAGAGAGAGAGAGAGAGAGAGAGAGAGAGAGAGAGAATGTGTGTGTCAGAGTGAGTCATAGAGAGGTCTAGATAATGTACGGGGGATTTTCGTCCTACCTACCTCCCTCATGATTGAACATTAGCAGTGACAGGCGGGCTATAGCTAGTAGTGTGTGGTGTGCTGGCGGGAGAGCAGAGGCAGTGCTGCAGCTTATCATGTTTGCGTTATGTCCAATTACCATCAAATCTGAGACTAAGCCCTAAAAATCTATCAATGACTGAGATTCCCCTTCCCCCACGAACCACTGTTACTGTCGAAGTATTCGCGATGAATCCTGAGGACAAGGCTGTCAAACTTTGCTGCCGACGGTGACGATGTCCTGTGGTTTGTATTGACTCGATGAGGAAGCCTAGAAATCTCTCACCAATCTATCGCCAGTGTCTGCAGTCACCACCGATCAGTCCAACAGGAAGCCCTAGGAATCTACGTCTGGCAACAACGTCACCATGGTTACCGTGACGCAACTCTAGAAATCTATCGCAGGCGGCGGCGACGTCCCCGCGAGCAAGGCGAATGCAAGATGAGGCGTATATATAGCCGACGTCCCGCGTGTGCCTATTAGGAAGCGCCGTCTCGCGCGGCGGGGTCGGGTTGCCGTAGCGGGGACGGATGCTGCGTTGTCGCGGCGGCGCTTTCCCAGCATTCGTCGCTTGTGTGTCACCGCGCAGAACGGCGCCAGCGATCGTTGCCTAGTTTCAAAACTACTGCAGGTGCGCTGACGTGCTGGGGGAATACGCGCGGGCAAATCCAAGGTGTGCCGGGTTCTGCGTGATTCGCCTCGATTTATACACGTTTTCTAGGTAACTTCTCGTTGTGTTTTATGGGTGACTCCGTAGTTTAGTTACATTTTCCAGGTGGCTCCTTGTTTTCGGGGCGTTTTCTTAGTGAATCGCTTTAGAAACGTTTTCTGCACTATTCGTTACTGTAGACACGTTTTCCGGGCGACTCCTCGATTCAGAAACGTTTTCTGGGTGACGCTTTGATCGATATGTTTCCTGATTGCGTAGCGTCTGTTCTTCGTGTTCCGTCGGTAGGGCACACGCAATCTATTGCCTTAATCCCCTTACTAATTACTCTGATCTGTTGATGATGGATGACAGCATCGATTATTGGAAGCAGGTATTTGAGCTGACGTCTCCTGATGTATCCTTCACTTCCTTCCTTGCTGCCACCGTGTACTTGCCCTGTAGCGTAATTGGCTCATTCTAACGGAGGTTCAAGTTCCCATTGCTCTTAGTTTTTTTTATGCCTTCTTCTACCTTCTCTTTTACTTCTACTTTACTTCTACTCCTCCTCCTCATCCACTGCCATCGATTTCTCGAGCGTGGTGCATTCACGTGGAAATCCTTCGGCAGTACAGTGGCGCGGTTGAATTCGTCGTCGTTGCTGTCGCCATTATCGTCATCATCATCATCGTCGTAGTCGGCCTTGATTCACACTATTGTTCACCCGTGATGGGTGCAGACTCCTCCTCATCATTCTACGCCCCCACCTGCTTCTCCCCCTCCTCATACCCCTCCTCCTTCTCCTTATACCCCTCCTTCCTCTCCTCCTCATACCCCTCCTTCTGCCTCTCCTCCTCATACCCCTCCTTCTCCCCCTCCTCGTCATACACCTCTTCCCCCTCCTCATCATACCCTTCCTCCCCCTCCTCATATCCCTCCTTCTCCCCCTCCTCCTCATACCCCTCCTCCTCATACCCCTCCTCCTCATCGCCCTCCTCCTCTTCCTCATAATCCGAATCCTCCTGCATCTCCTCCTCCGCCCCCTCCTCATCATTCCCCCTTTTCTCGCCCCCCTCCTCCTCCTTCATTTCCCTCCTCCCCTTTCTCTCGCCGTCCTCTCCCTCGGCAGGAGCAGCATTAGTACTGTGCTTGCTCGGCTAGCCGTAACGACCCGGCGGCGTGCGTGACCGGTGGCGTCGCCGTGGCCGCTGTGCAATCGGTGCGTTTCACGGCCGATGCGTTTTTAATTGGCGCGTCATCCACGCGCGTCGCGTTAATCCGTCGCCGCCGCCGCCGCTGGCGGAGTCGGATTCATTCGCTGTCGGATGCAATGCGTGACGCGTCTCGCTCAGCCGTGCCGCGAAGCCCAGCCAGAAATGCGCGCAAGCATCTAATTGATAATTGATAATTATATCCTATGCGTGCCGGCTGCGCTGCTTCTGTATAGTTGATGCTGTGTACGAAGCCGTGCATTGTTGAGTCTCTGCTCGCAACACGGCTAGTGTACGAGCGCAGCATGGCGAGTGGCTAGTGTACGAGCGCAGCATGGGTTAAAGGTACAGCACGTTTGGTAGTGGTGGGGCGACGTAGCGTGGACACCGTCACCATGACAGCACAGCATAGGCACGCATCTATTATTTGCCGCTGTCTGTGTGCGCGCTGCGCTGTTATGGTGTCCATGCTACGCCGCAACACTACCTCATGCAGTACACCAAACACTAGCTCTGGAACTATAGCCCTTCACTCCACCACGGGCCTGTGGCGGAGCGAAGGGCTATAGTTCTAGAGCTAGCCAAACGCGTACTGTGCTCGTGTACGGGCAGTGCTGTTGCCATGTGACATTGATTACGCCTGCTATAGCCGTAATAGTGGTCATGGTGTTCCCATCATGGTGTATATATTGTAAAATTTGTATGTATGCGTGCGTGCGTGCATGTTCTGTTAATACCCGTACTATGGCAGCAATGCTGGTCATGGTGTTCCCCTCGAGGTGTCTATATTGGTATGAGTGGTTGTGCTATCTCCCCTATATTGCCTATATTTGTATGAGTGCCTATGGTATTCCCTTATATTGCCTACATTGGTATAAGTGGCTGTGCTATCCCACTATATTGCCTACATTGGTATGGGTGGCTGTGCTATTCCCGGCTATGGTATCCCTCCCATGTGCTGACGCCGCTGCCTGTGCTCACTCCTCCTCCTCGTGTCTTCCCCTGCAGTGTTCCCGCTGGAGGAGCGAGTCTTCCTGCCATCGTCACGCAGCAGCAGTCTGCGCGTCGGAGAGTCGCACGGACGCCTCGGCACGTGGATCCGCGAGTCGGCGGGCCTCGAGCGATACGACAAAGGTAGGACATGCCGCTAGCGCCACGACACCTAGATGCACTAGCGCGGCACAGAGATGGCTGCTAGGTTGATGCCTGTAGGTGGTGCTACGGTAGAGTTTTATGACGCGTGTGGCACCCAGGTGGTGCTACGGTAGAGTTTTCTGATGCGTGTGGCACCCAGGTGGCGCTATGGTACAGTTTTCTGACGCGTGTGGCACCCAGGTGGCGCTACAGTAGAGTTTTCTGATGCGTGTTGCACCCAGGTGGCGCTACAGTAGAGTTTTCTGATGCGTGTGGCACCCAGGTGGCGCTATGGTACAGTTTTCTGACGCTTGTGGCACCCAGGTGGCGCTACAGTAAAGTTAGACAAAGTGCATGGCATGTATTCAGCAGTAAGTAGGACGTGCGGGGCCATTTGATATACAGTTATGTATAGACGGTTGTATATGAGGGCGTACCTTGATCAACCCCCCGGTCTCTACTATCGGTTTACATTTTGCGTCCTTCTACGTTCGCCCCGCGCCGTATTGTCATTAGCTCTCGTTTCGAGCTGCCGCTTATGGAAAGCATTTTGTACCAAAAAGCATAAAACCCGGTTTTAAGCTCTTAAAACCTAGTTTTAAGCCATAAAACTGGGTATTAGGCCTTAAAACCTGGTTTTAAGATCTTAAAACCCGGTTTTAAGGTCTAAAACTAGGTTTTAAGGTCTAAAACTAGGTATTAAGACCTTAAATCCGGGTTTTAGACCTTAAATCCGGGTTTTAAGACCTTAAAACCTGGTTTTAAGGTCTAATACCCGGTTTTATGGCTTAAAACTAGGTTTTAAGAGCTTAAAACTAGGTTTTATGCTTTTTGGTACAAAATGCTTTCATAGCGCTAGTTTGCCTCGGAGCGTTCTCGTGGCTCTCTGTTGCCACGGCGGACGGCAGCAACACGTCAGTCTCGGTTTTTTTCTTTCCACAGAGTTGACGAGCGCTCGACTAAAATCATCTTCAGCTGCGGAACATTATCGGCAGCCTACGCAAGTTGCAGGGACCGGACGGACGAATCGATTCGATCATCTGGTCAGTGCCGGGATTGCTGTAGCATCCTTCATCCCTCTCTCGTGCGGCGCCGGATGCTGAGCATCCTCGTTCCTGCCTGTCCGCGCCGGATGCTGACCATCCTCGGTTCCGCATGTCCGCGCCGGATTGCCGAGATCCTCTTGTTCCCACGTGTCCGCGCCGCGGATGCCCTAAGCATCTCGTCCCGCGTGTTCCTACGCCGGATGCCTGAGCATTCCCTCGTCCGCGTGTTCCGCGCCGATTGGCTGAGCACTCTCCGCGGTTCCCAGCGATGTCGCCCAGCTATGTCTCGTCCACGTTCCACAGCATCCTCGTCCCACGTGTCCGCGCCCTCGTTTCACGTCTCCACACTGGATGCTGAGCATCCTTGTCCCGCGTGTCCGCACAGAACACTCGACCTGCCTGTCCGCACCGGATGCTGAGCATCCTCGTCCCACGTGTCTGTGCTCGGATGCTGAGCATTCCTCGTCCCGTTTTTCTGCGCGGATGCCTGTTAGGCATCCTCGACCCACGTTCCGCGCCGGATGCTGAGCGACTCCCTCGGACCCACCGTGTCCGCACCGGATTTCTGAGCATTGTCGTCCCACGTGTCCGCGCCGGAGGTGAGGCATTCTCGTCCGCATGTCCACGCCGGATGCTGAGCCATCCTTTTTTCCTGTCCCGGTGTTCGCCACGGATGCTAGACCATCCTCGTCCCGCCATACCTGCCCGTGCCTTCATCACGCTGATGCTGAGATTGCCATCGCACCTCAGCAACGCTGTAGGCTTGACTAGCATCTTCTCTCTACACCGCCACCTCTCCTCATGCTCTCATTCATCATGAATAAGCTTCTCCGCAACGCGCTTTGCCGCGGCTCCTTCCTCGTGTGCTTTCCTATTACTTTCCGTGCAGGCATCCGCGCTGTGGGATAAACGATTTGATTTAGGAAGGCATGCTTTTTTCTCGCGCGGGTGTGCGCTGGCCACTGCTGATAATAATAAACTGCGTAATTAAGGAAACTGTTGCGACGCTTAAGCCTCCTGTGCGGGTAAAACGCTCGTAAGACTTCACAGAAAAGCTGGCGGCCTTTAGCGACTTCCGTGTTCGTCGGTGATATATTTCGGATAGAATCGTTTTACTGCCGAGTCGCTCTCTTCTTTCGCCAACCGCTGCGCGCACGCCTCCTTATTCTTATCGTGCGTCTGCGTGAGACGGCGCGGTTTCTTAGCGACGGAAACGCCGTCTGAGCCGCGAGTTGACAGTAAATTTTGTGCTTCTCGATTCTCGGTTTTTGCACACAATCAGACGAATGCAGCGGGCGTCACGCGATCAGTCTCCACTGTGGAAATAAGCCAACACGCCGCTTGTAGTCAGATAGACACGTATTAGTACGTTAGCTCTCTGCTGTGTGCGCTAGATAGGCCAGTAGAGGCACGTATTAGTAATTTATTCTAGGGCTACTGTGCATGCATTTGATAATTTATATTGTTGCGACTATCTTTTCTGTAAATCAAAACTGCAGGAGTTGTAAGCTAGCCACTTAGGCAGAGCAGTCGTTAGGGCGTTATAGACTCTATGATCGCTTTACTGTAATATTATAACTGCAGTGTCACATTCTGTACATTAAAACCAAATGCTGCTGGTTGAGGGGCACGGCTGCGTAGCTGACCACATATTAGCGTGTAAGGCTTTATTACAACACGTCCACTATAGTGTTATTAAATTGTCTTGTCTATTGACGTACTGCAAATTCGAACAACATTCAGTTGTATGGAGGCGTTAGCCAAAACACCTGGAACGCGCTACTACACCGCAAATTGCTATGAAAAGGATTTTCGTTGAGCTCTTATACCTTTCACGCTTTTAGTTATATTATAAACAAGGAATCATTACCTTCACGCTTTAGTTATATTATAAAACAAGATATCTTACCTTCACGCTTTAGTTATAAACAGGATATCTATTATCTTGGTTGTAAGCTCGTACTATAAACATGATGTCTTACTTTCAAGTATTTATTATAACATGATGTTCTTAACTTCAAAGTATTTTATTATAAAGCAGAATTTCTTTACCTCAAGTTCTTTATTATAAACAGAATGTCTTACATCAATTTCTTATTATAAACAGGATTCTTACCCTTCAAGTTCTTATTATAAAGAGGATATCTTACCTTCAAGTTCTTATTAGTTAACAGGAATGTCTCTACAATCAAGTTCTTATTTATAAACAGGGATGTCTACACTTCAAGCTTCTTTTATAACACAGGATGTCTTACCTTCAAAGTTCTTATTATTAAACAGGATATCTTACCTCAAGTTCTATTATTATATAAACAGGATATCTTACCTTCAAGTTTTATTATAAAAGGATGTCTTACCTATCAAAGTTCTTATTATAACAGGATAATATTTACCTTCAAGTTCTTATTATAAAACATGGATGTCTTACCCTTCAAGTTCTTATTATAAACAGGATATCTTATACCTTTCACGTTCACTTATAAATGAGATATCTTAGCTTGTACGCTAGTTGTAAGTTTGTAATTCCACCCTCACCGTCATTCATCCCTTGGGTGTTGTCGCCAATTGCGGCGGCCGATAATAACATTGTCGTTTATCCTTCGTCGCATCTGTCGTCGTGTGCCAGGCGGTTAGCGTTCTAATGGGGTGTTTAAAAAAAATTCCGAAGAAAATTTTTTTTAATTAACATTTTTTTATTCTTACAATTTTTTTAAAAGTGAATTGCATCAAATGATCTCAACTATGTATGCTTGTTATATATTCTTGTATAATAGTGTTTTATCTTAAAGTTTTAATGTTACAAATCTCATCAGGAAATGTCACAAATGTGTTTTCAGATGCACAGATCCCATGAGCTTCGTGGGCGTGGAGGAGGGTGCTTCCAATTATTTACCGCGTCCAATTTTTTTTTCAGTTTCCGATTTTTTTTGTTAACACCCATGCAGTGAGCAGTGAGCGTGCGTTGTTGCCTTGCAGGTGTCGAGTCTGGGCAGTACACAACGAAGCGCGACTCCAAGAAACAGCAGAAGCTCAGAAGGCTGAGACGAGGAAGAAGGAGAAGAGACAGAAGGAGAGCGACACCAACTCAAACAGCAGCTCGAAAACCTCGGTAGGTGGCGCAGCCGTCTTTGGCGTGCGGGAGACGCGCTGCTATCTCACGCAGAAAATCTGCGGGTGTTTGTCCTTGAAATATCTTTGCTTGACATAAATCGTTGTACAACGTCGGTGACATAATCGTCACGGAACGTCGGTGACATAATCATTGTGGTACCGTCGGTGACATAATTGTCGCTGTACGTCGGTGACATAATCGTCACGGAATGTCGGTGACATAATTGTCACGGAACGTCGGTGACATAATCATTGCAGAACATTGGTGACAATTGTCGTCGCGAAAATGTTGGTGACATAAGCCCCCGTAAACGTTGGTAACTATTTTCGCGGTACGTCGGCAGTGCCGTGATCGTCGCGAAACGTCAGTGACGAAATACCTCGCGGATACATCGGGTGACAATAATGCTGCAAGTACGTTTGGAGACAATTTTCCCGGAATGTCGGTGACAATCATCGCTGTACGTCGGTGACATAATCATGGGTACGTCGGGTATCGTGCGGGCTAGCTCGGGTCATTTGGACGTCGTAATAGTTGCCCCGGTCAGCCGTCCGGTGACATTAATCGTCGCGAGTGACCCGGACATCTCGCGTTAGCCGTGCCCGGGTGACATAATCGTCGTTCAACACCCGCGTCCGTCCGGTGATACGCGTCTCGGTGACTAGATCGCCGCCGTACCGTCGGTGACATACGTTGCCGCCTCGCGTACCGTCGGTGACATAATCATCGCGGTACTGTCGGTGACATAATCGTCGCGGTACCGTCGGTGACATAATCGTCGCGGTACCGTCGGTGACATAATCGTCGCGGTATGTCGGTGACATAATCGTCGCCCGGTACCGTCGGTGACATAAATCGTTTCAGAGCCGGTTCCGTCGGTACATAATCGTCATCGCGTTACCGTCGGTGACATATAATCGTCGCTACGCAGACCTGGCTACCGTCAGTGAACATACTATCATCGCGGGTACCGTCGGTGACATAATCGTCGCTGGCCGGTTACCGTCGTGACAATAATCGTCGCGGGTACCGTCGGTGATAATCGCCGCCGGCATGGTACCGTCCGGCTGACATAATCGTCTGAGCTACGTCGGTGACATAAATTCATTGCGGTATGTCGGTGACACCCCCCCCCCCTCCCTTAATCATCCTGTCGGTTCACGTGCATATTGCGCGTACCATCGGTGACATAATCGTCGCTTGGTACCGATCGGTGACATAATCGTCGCGTGTAATACCCTCGGTACATTAATCGTCGCGTACCGTCGGTGACATAATCGTCGCGGTACCGTCGGTGACATAATCATCGTGGTACCGTCGGTGACATAATCGTTGCTACCCCCCGCAGCTCAGCGCGGCGACGCTGATGGCGACGACACCGGAGGGACTGCGCACGAGCTCGTCGAACCCGAACCTGCCGTCGCTGCGGCCGACCAGCCTCACCGACGTCAACTCACCACTGCTCTCCGTGCTCTCCGGCTCCACCGACAGCTTCGACTCTCACGGTCTTCATGACGACTTTGTCAAGGTCGCGGAGGAAGGTCGGTGTGGCGGGGTCAGGGTCGGCGAGGGGGGGGGGGGTTGTAGGAGGCCGGCAGGCAGTTGAGCAGAGAGAGAAGGGGGTAGGGAGAGCGAGAGAGAGGGGGGAGAAGGGGTAGGGAGAGCGCGAGAGAGAGGGGGAGAAGGGGTAGGGAGAGCGCTAGAGAGATGGGGGGAGAGGGGGTTACGGTAGGGAGAGCGAGAGAGAGAGAGGGTGAAGAAGGAGAGATGGGAGGGAGAGGTAGAGAGAGAGAGAGAGACGTCCGCATGTGATTTAGCTACTGTGTGTGTGTGTGTGTGCCTGTGTTAGCTAATGTTCGTGTCATATATTCATTGTTGTCTGTGCGAGCGTGCGTGCGTGCGTGCGTGTGTGCGTGCGTGCGTGTGTGTCTGCTTGCCTACGTCTATTTGGGTTGGCTTGTGTCTGTGTATGTGTGTTTGCTTGTGTCTTTGTATGTGTGTTTACTTGTGTCTGGGTATGTGTGTTTACTTGTGTCTGAATTTGTGTGTTTGCTTGTGTCAGAGTATGTATCCATACGTGCGTGTTTGTATGCGTGAGGGGTGGGCATGCATGAATTTGGGAAGAGGCAGTGTAGATACAGGGGGGAAATATATCAGGTGAATGAAAGAAAATGAGAACAATCAAAAAGAGCGTGCTGAAGATTGATCGTGTGTGTGTGGGTGGGGGGTGGGGGGGGGATGTGCGTGCGCGTGCGCGTGTGCGTGTGTGCATGCGTGCGTGCATGTGTATGTGTGTATGCGTGTGTGCGTGCGCGTGCGCGTGTGCGTGTGCGTGTGTGCATGCGTGCGTGTGTGCGTGTGTGTGGGCATGGATGCATGCATTTGGAGAGGTTGATATATGAGGAACAAATCAAATACACGAATAAGAATAGGCACAATCAAAAGAAAAGTGTGCTGAAAATTGATTAGGTGATAGTGTGTGTGTGTGTGCGTGCGTGCGTGCGTGCGTGCGTGTACCTGCATGTTTGCGCGTGCATGTGCACGTGTGCATATGCATGCAGGTGCGTTGGTGCGCGCACGTGCGGGCGCGTGTCTGGGTGTGCGTGTGCATGTGTGCGTGCGTGCGTGTGCGTGTGTGCGTGCGTGTGTATGAGAGCTGATATCAGTACGTGCAGCAGTCACCATCATCATCGCAGCCGTCATCGTGGGTGTGTGTGCATGCGTGTGTGTGCGTGCGTGCGTGCGTGCGTGTGCGTGCGTGCGTGGGTGTATGTGTATGTATGTAATGTGTTGCAGTTCACGACCAGCTGCGCGGGCTGCTGCGATCGATCCAGACCGAGCGCGACCGTCTCAAGAACGTGCTCGAACACGAATGCAACCCCGCCGCCTCGGCCAGCGCGTCGCCGGCCGTCGTCGTCGGCCCCAACGCCACCGTCATCCAGTCCCTGCGCATTGCACTCAACCAGGTACCCGACGCTGCCGACGCGCGCTCGCGTTCTTTACGTATTTTTCTGTTTGTTAGAAAAGCTCGTCTTGGATTTATAGGAATTTTTATGGCACCGAGACGGGGATTTTTGGATTTTTGGAAAGGTTGATCAAGGCTGCGTACTGTTTAAAATGGGCGACAGGGAGATGCATGCACACGCGTGGAATTTATGTGGGAGCAGAGGCTTCATACTAGCTAGGAGTTTATTACCGTGGGCAGCAGGCAATCGTCAGGAGAATCGCGGCAAGTATAGAATACAACCGTAGCACTTGACATCGAGGGTCCATGGTGAAATTTGAGCCTCGTTCCAGCTGTGGCTTGTAGAGGTGTTATAATTTATCGATTCAACAATACACTGCATTGTCTGTATCACTTCCTCGTATATATCGCTTCGCCCACGATACGCTCCCCAGGTGAATTGTGTGTAAAAACACGTAGCAAAGTTTGAATGGAATTCAATTCATTATCAGCCAGCCATGCTAACTTTTTCATTCGAAAATAAACAACGTAAGCAAGAAAATTTTGTAAAAGAAGAAGTAGGCCATAGGCAGGTATTTGTTGTGAGAAATCAGTCAGATTTAAAGAAACAGATTTAATAAAGAAAAAAGGATGCAGAGTAGTTTATGCATCTTTATAACATTTATACATACTTATAGGGATATACTATCTTGAGTAATGATCACTTTATTGGTTGATTGATTGATTGATTGATTATAGGCAGTCCAGCAGAATGCAGAGCTGCGGGCTCGGCTCAGTCGCATTCACGTGGAGGCGATGGTACCTGAGATGGATGCAGTGCTCTCACCTACAATAGATGCAACTGTCATGAACGAGGTAAATGCTGCTGCTGCTGCTGCTGCTGCTGCTGCTACTGCTGCTGCTGCTACTGCTGTTACGTATCTCGCTCTATCTCTCTCTCTCTCTTTCTCTCTACGCCGGATGCTGAGCATCCTCGACCCACGTGTCCGCACCGGATTCTGAGCATGCTCGTCCCACGTGTCCGCGCCGGAGGCTGAGCATCCTCGTCCCGCGTGTCCGCACCGGATGCTGACCATCCTCGTCCCGCGTGTCCGCGCCGGATGCTGAGCATCCTCGTCCCGCGTGTCCGCGCCGGATGCTGAGCATTCTCGTCCCGCCTGTCCGCGCCAGATGCTGAGCATCCTCGTCCCGCCTGTCCGCACTGGATGCTGAGCATCCTCGTCCCGCGTGTCCGCACCGGATGCTAACCATCCTCGTCCCGCATACCTGCCCGCTCCTCATCACCTGATGCTGGTTGCCATCCGCCTCAGCAAACGCTGTAGGCTTGACTTAGCATCTTCTCTCCCACCGCCGCCTCTCCCTATGCTCCTCATTCATCAGAATAAGCTTCTCCGCGCGCGTCTTTGCCGCGCCTCCTTCTCGTGCTTTCCTATTATTCCGTGCAGGCATCCGCGCTGTGGGTAACCGATTGATTTAGGAAGGCATGCTTTTTTCGCGCGGAGTGTGCGTGGCACTGCTGATAATAATAACTGCGTAATAAGGAACTGTTGCACGCTTAAGCCTCCTGTGCGGGTAAAAACGCTCGTAAGACTTCACAAAAGCTGGCGGCTTTAGCGACTTCCGTGTTCGTCGGTGAATATATTTCGATAGAATCGTACTGCCGAGTCGCTTCTCTCTCGCACCGCTGCCGCCGCACGCCTCCTATTCGTTATCGTCGTCGCGTGACGGCAAGTTTCTTAGCGACGAAACGCGTCGAGCGCGAGTTGAGTAAATTTGTGCTTCTCGATTCTCGGTTTTGCACACAATCAGACGAATGCAGCGGCGTCACGCGATCAGTCTCCACTGTGAATAAGCAACACGCCATTGTAGTCAGATAGACACGTATTAGTACGTTAGCTCTGCTGTGCGTGCGCTAGATAGCCAGTAGAGGCACGTATTAGTACTTTATCTAGGCTGTGCATGCATTATAATCTTATATGTTTGCGACATCTTTTCTGTAAATCAAACTGCAGAGTTGTAAGCTAGCCACTAGCAAGAGCATCCGTTAGGGCGTTAGACTCTATGACTCGCTTACTGTAATATTATAACTGCGATGTCACTTCTGTACATAAAACTGCGCGGTTGAGGGCAGGTGCGTAGCATGACCACATATTAGCGTGTAAGGCTTCATTACACACGCACTATAGTGTTATAATTGTTGTCTATTGACTTCTGCAAATCGAAACCATTCAGTTGTAGGGAGGCGTTAGCACAAACACCTGTGATACGCGCTCTACACCGCAAATGCTATGAAAAGGATTTCGTGGCTCTATACCTTCACGCTTTAGTTATATTATAAACAAGATATCTTACCTTCACGCTTTAGTTATATTATAAACAAGATATCTTACCTTCACGCTTTAGTTATATTATAAACAAGATATCTTACCTTCACGCTTTAGTTATAAACAGGATATCTATTATCTTG